AGCACATGTAGACCACACAAATAAAAAACGGAGAGTGTTCATTACCTAAATCTGCATTATAAGACATGCCTGTGCGGTTAAAATGACACGCCAAAACTCATACATGACCCAGTATATGTCATAACCTGGTTTATAGATGTATGTTCATAATGTTGACAAAATGCTTCAGACTGGCTGTGGAAAACTATTATGGTATTTCTGAATTCAGACAGATCTACGCCTAGAGCACAGCTTGCCCAACATTACAGCACAGGTAGTCCTTGTCCTACAACCCAAACTTTATGTTCCTAAGTAAGGCATTTGTTAAGTGAATTTTGCCCCATTTTATGTCCTTTCTGGCCACAGTTATTAGATGAATCAGTGCAGTTGTTACACTAGTAACACAGTTGTTAAGTGAATCTGGATTTTCCCATGGATTTTGCTTGTCAGAAGGTTAACAGATAATCAGAGTTGGAAGGGACCTTATAGGTCACCTAGTCCAACCCCTCGCCCAAGCGGGAGACCTACACCATTTCTGACAGATGGGAGTCCAATCTCTTCTTGAAAGTTTCAAATGATGGCGCTCCCACAACTTCCAAGGGCAAGTTGTTCCATTGGTTGATTGTTCTCACTGTCAGAAAGTTTCTCTTTATTTCCAGGTTAAATCTCTCCTTATTCAGTTTCCATCCATTATTCCTTGTCTGGCTTTCGGGTGCCTTGGAAAACAGCTTGACCCCTCCCTCCTCTCTGTAGCAGCCCCTCAAATATTGGAAGACTGCTATCATGTCTCCCCTGGTCCTTCTCTTCACTAGACTACCCAGGCCCAGTTCCGGCAATCGTTTCTTATGTTTTAGTCTCCAGTCTCCTAATCCTCCTGGTTGTTCTTCTCTGTACTTTTTCTAGAGTCTCAACATCTTTTTTACAGTGTGGTGACCAAAACTAAATGCAGTACTCTAGGTGTGGCCTTACTAAGGCTTTATAGAGGGGTATTAGTACCTCCCTTGATTTTGATTGTATCCCTCTGTTAATGCAATTTAGGATTGCATTGGCTTTTTGGGCTGCTGCTGCACACTGCTGGCTCATCTTTAGCTGGTTGTCCACAAACTGCAAGATCTCTCTCACAGTTACTGCTTACTGTTGCAAAGGGGGATCACAATGATCCTGAGACATGGCAATCGTCATAAGTATGAACCAGTTGCCAAGCGTATGAATTACGATCACATGATTATAGGGATGCTGCAATGGTTGTAAGTATGAAAAACGCTTTCATAAGTCGCTTTGCCGTTGCAACTTTGAATGGTCACTAAATGAACTGTTGTAAGTCGAGGAGTACCTGTACTTGAGGAAAGCACAAGCTTGTCTTATAGATGTAGCACTACACAATGATATCAGAGTATCTAAGATTTGGCTAGTCTAAAGAAAAGAAGAATTAGGGGTGACATGATGGCAGTATTACAATAAGCCACAAAGAAGAGGGGGTCAAATTATTCTCCGAGACACCAGAGGGCAGGACAAGAACCTATGTTTGGAAACTTCTTAACAGTGAGGACAATTAACAAGTGGAACAGCTTGGCTTCAGAAATCGTGGGCTCTCCATCGCTGGAAGATTTTAAGAAGCGACTAGATAGTCATTATCTGAAATACTAGCTTGATATTCGTGCTTCGCTAAGAAACTATGTGGTCGGGCTTAGTTTTTGGGGAGGAAAATAAAGGGGAAAAATTCTGCCTCTGCCTACCAACATGTGTGTGAGAGTTGAGGGCTGTTTGGAAACTGAAACGTAGAAACTGAAAGAGTATTCGCTGTATGAGCAAGGAGACAGCAAGGAGCCTGGGCATGGCTTAGCTCAATTGTTCTGTACTACAGCTGCTTGCTGCTGTGAAACTAAAACTGAAACTCCTCCCCTCTGCTTGTGTTTTGCATTTGGAACAGATTTCTTTTCAGGTGGGGAGGGGGAGTAGAACTCCTTAGCATCAGAGCGTGTTGATAGTAATAATATAGGAAATACTAAGGCTCTGATGGTCATTTCGAAAAATCCTTTCTTAGTGAGCACCTAGAAGCTACGAAGAACATACTGCCAAATTTCAAATTTGTAGGCTTTATGGTTCTGGAGATGTTGTGATGGTGTGTGAGTAGTATTTCACACACACACACACACATACACACATACGTGTATGTATGTATGTATGTATGTATGTATGTATGTATGTATCTATCTATCTATCTATCTATCTATCTATCTATCTATCTGCACCAAAGGGAGTTGGAACATTTTCTTCCTTTTTCCCCTTTTTTCTACACTTTTCCCTTCCCTTTTCCTTCCCCTATCTTTCCTACTATTTTCTTTTGTATTTTTTTTTTACATCTTACGGTATTAATATTTAAATAAATTATAAAAATTTCCCCTTCCCACTATGTTATCAGTTGTTCCTTTTTCCCTCCCTTCATTCCTTCTAGGTGTTTTCTTCCTGTTTTTTAAGGAGGAAGAATAGGATGGAGTAATGGGCCAGCCAGGTTGGTGCAATATGTGAAGGTGCTGAGCTAGAGACCGGGCGATGGTAAATTCTAGTTTCCCCTGAGGCCTGCAAGATGACAGGGTGACTTTGGGCCAGTCATTCTCCCTCAGCCAAACCCACCTCACAGCCTTTTTGTTGTGAGAAAAATAGGAGGGGCGACCATTGCATACACCATTCTGGATTGTACAAATAAAGGCAGAATCGAAGCCTAACAAAAGTACATAAATACAGCCCGGCTGAGTAAACTATTAAGAAGGGGAGGGAAAACTCTTATCCAGCTTCTTTTTCTCCTTCAGAAACCTCAGCCAAGCCTGTTATCAAAGGTGGAAACGAAGAAAAACGGTTCACCAGGAAGGAGCTTAGAAAATGCTTTTTTTTGCGGAAACATCACAAACAAAAGCACATTTGCCAACAGCTATTTTAAGCTTCGGATGGAAAGCAAGGTGTCATTTCCTCCAGATCGTAAGTCAATTAAAAACATTAACAACAAAAACATTTTGTTTTTGGTTATTTAAACACCACGTCAAATCACCTGTAGAAAAGTCACTCAACTAAAAAGGACTTGTCTCCTGTTACTGAACCAGTGAATATTGACCAAATATCTCTTGCAGCCTGAGGAGATAAGGAATGTGAGGGAGCTGAGCTTATACAGGTAGTCCTTGACTTAAAACCATTCGTTTAGTGACTCTTCGAAATTACAATGGCACTGAAAAAAGGGACTAATGGTTATTTTTCACACTTGCGACCATTGCAGCATTCCCATGGTCATGTGATCAAAATTCGGGCGTTTGGCATGTATTTATGAGGGTCCCAGGGTCATCTGATCACCTTTTATGACCTTTGGACAAGCAAAGTCAATGGGGGAAGCCAGATTCACTTAACAACTGCAGTGATTCACTTAGCGACTGTGGTAAGAATGGGGAAAAATTCATTTTACAGCTGTCTTGCTTAGCAATGGAAATGTTGGGCTCAATTATAGTCACAAGTCGAGGACTACCTGTACTCCATTCTTCCTCTACTGCAGGCCTATATAACCTGAGGCCTGAGGGTTTCTTGTACAACCTGAGGTACAACCTATAAGCCTTGGCCAAAATCACTACAGGTAGTCCTTGACTTAAGACTAAAATTGGGACCAACATTTACTTTATTAAGCAAGGTAGCTGTTAAGTGAGTCAGACGCCCAATTTTGCAACCTTTTTTTGCTATGGATATTAAGCGAATCACTGCAGCTGGAGAAGATTTTTCCCTCCCCTTCTTAATATTTCCCCAATGAAACCACCTGGGAAAGTCGCAAATGGCGCTCATGCAACCCAGGATGTATAAATACATGCTGGTTGCCAAGTGCCCAAATTTTGATCACATGGCTGTGGGAATGCGAGGACCAGTCACAAGTAAGTCACTTTTATTTATTTTTTACTGCTGTTGTAACTCTGAATGGTTGTAAATAGAGGATTACCTGTACCTATTTTTCTCCTGATCTTTCTCATTTTGGGGAAGGTGCATCCCGGGATGCTCTCAAAGACCAACTGTTGGTTGGGAAAGTCTTACAAGGACTTTACTGATGCTATTCAGAATCTCCTCTCTGCAGGAGGAGTAGCAGCAGAACTCTAGGGTGGAGTCAAAAGAGGGCTCAGCCCAGAATCCCTACATAGCCACAAATGGACTCCCTTGAATTCCGTTGACCCTTATCTAAACCCAAGCAAGCGCTAACCTTCAGTTAAGAAGATTCCTCTGCATAGGCTATTTAGCAATAAATACATTGAATTGGACCTTCTCATGTGAGGATCTGATGTTTCACACCTCTCGGTTTCTAAGTAAACCGCTTGCTTTAAGATTGGGGAAGGACCCACCTAAGGACTTGTGGACACAGCACTTAAGAAGAGGACTCAGCTCTCTTTGGAAAGCCTCGGTGGCGCAATGAGTAAGAGTGCTGTACTGAAGGCCACTCCTGCTGACTACCGGCTGCCTGCAATTTGGCAGTTCAAATCCCACCAGGCTCAAGGCTGACTCAGCCTTCCATCCTTCTGAGGTGGGTAAAATGATGGTTGGGGGCAAGAGGCCGACTCTATAAACCACTTAGACAGGGCCGTAAAGCACTGTGAAGTGGTATATAAGTCTAAGTGCTATGGCTATTTTCCACGTACTCCTTGCTCGAGGACAATAGGTCCACCACTCATCCCTGCTGTGGGGGAATCGTGAGGCATCTGCCACAGGCACCTCACAACCTGGCACCCTGAAGATGCCGTCACCATGACGCATGTATCGAGTAGAAAACAATTTCAGAGCGAGGAGAACAACTTCACAGGCTCTGATTCACTGCCTATCCTGGTTCATCACTGGAAGCAATGTTTGCTTTGTAGCTAATAATAGGATGGATCCTGCAAAACTTCAGGCCGGCGTTGGAGTTTCCACCTCTGCTTCATTTCTGATGCGGACAATAAGAAGAACCGATTTTGGGGAAGGGGGAATTAATGAAAGAAATTCAGAAGGCAAAGTCTTTCCCCTACCTCCGGTCATTCCTCCTCCTCCTGAATAGTTTTTTGGTGTGTGCAATTTCTGCTTCGTGTGGCAATGGGTGACAACCCTGGAATAAAACAGGGAAAAAAGAAAGATGGTTATAAGTTCAGTAAGAAGGACCAGAAAATACTCATGATTATGGCCAGGAGCAGAATGTTACTGTCCCTGGCCTTTCTGGCTTTCCTAACCTCTTGAAACGCTGGTTCAGACAAGCCGCTCATTTTAATTTTTCCTAAGAGTTGCTAGAGCAGGGGTCTTCAAACTTGATAGCTTTAAGACTTGTGGACTTCAACTCCCAGAATTCCTCCTCCAGTCATGTTAGCTCAGGAATTCTGGGAGTCGAAGTCCACAAGTCTTAAACTTGCCAAGTTTGAAGACCCTTGTGCTAGAGTGAAGTAAGCTTATGATGATTAAGGGTAGAATCGAATATTATTCATACAAACAAGCTTCAACATTGCAACATAGTGTGAAAAAAGTTATTGCTTCAAAGCTTTAAGACCATCACACATCATGCATCCATGACCATCGTAAAATATTCTGGGAATTGAAGTCCATAGGAACCCAGATTGTGGATAGTTGAACTAGACTTGTCAAATTCTGATATTCGTCCAAAATTATTGTAATAGGAAAATGCTTTCCATCTGTGTACAGTATCACCAGGTGTCAACTTTCCCAGGTAGACCAGACAGGAAAGACAACCAAATGAGCTAATTCTACTTTATTGCAAGGCTAATTAACAGAATCTTGCATATCTGAAAGTAAAGACCACTTTTTACAGTCTGATAAATGCAGGAGTATCTGAACAGTCATTTTGAGAACAAAAAGTAGGGTCACAACTGGTTGTTGTTTTTTTCAACTGCCTTTTTATCAGCATAATAAAGTTCTGACTTGCCTTAGAGGCAATTTCATTGTTACTTGAGGTATTTTAAGAATGGAATGGAATGGAGTAGAATAGAATAGAATAGAATAGAATAGAATAGAATAGAATAGAATAGAGTACTTTATTGGTCAAGTGTGATTGGACACACAAGGAATTTGTCTTGGTGTAAATACTTTCAGTATACATAAAGAAAAGGTACCAGACTGAGCATAATTGAACCCCTATCAAATTCCACTAACTTATTTACTTAATATACTTTCTATGCTGCATTCCAGGGTAAAACATCTTAGCAAGAGGCACATAATTGGAATAAAAGAGAAAGTCAGGTGGGTAAAAAGGCAAGGAAGCAACTTATGATAAATCAAAGCATTCAATATAAAACAAATGTGAAATTTGGACATTTAAAAGTAGAGAGTGGAAGGAAAAACATTCATGAGCATCATTCATACAACGGTGGCACCATGACTTAATCTTAAAAGCCTCTCAAATAGCATTTGAGGGGCCATTCCTGCAGTAGAAGTTTGCTTGCAATTAATACAAATGACAATTTGTAAGATGCCAAGATGCCTACAAGTCAGGAGCCCCTCAGAACAGCTTTCTATATTGGTTCACTCATAAGAAGAGATTGGACAACCATTTGTCTGAAATGGTGTAGGGCAGTGATGGCGAACCTTTTGGTTGTGATGTGCTGAAAGCGCGTGTGTGCCAGCACCCACAATGCAATGTGCCCCTCCCCCCGTGCATGCGCGCCCCCTTACCTGCACTGCTCATGCGTGCGCCTCCCAGCTGATTTTTGGCCCGTTTGAGGCCGTTTCGTCCTTCTGGAGGCTTGAGGGAAGCCCCTGCAGCCTCGGGAGACTGAAAATGGGCCTATTTCGGCACTTCTGGTATTCCCAGAAGGCTCGTTTTTCAGCCTCCCGAGGCTGCAGAGGCTTCCCTTGAGCCTCCAGGAGGGCAAAAACAGCCTCAAACGGGCCAAAAATAGCTGGGAGGCATGCACATGCTCAGTGCAGGTAAGTTTGGCTGGGGCTCATGTGCTTGCACAAATGGCTCTGCGTGCCACCTGTGGCACACATGCCATAGGTTCGCCATCATGGGTATAGGGTTTCCTGATTCAGCAAAGGGTTGGACTAGAAGACCTCCAAGGTCCCTTCCAACTTATTCTGTTAAATAAAGGTACCAACTCCAGAGTACTCTTCATGAAGAATAAACCACTGTTATCCAAACTGAAATGGTTTGAACACCAGAGTCAACCTCTCCGGTTCTCATCCTACTTTTCCAGAACCTGCCTCCTGTCTCATAACCTTTCTTACATTCCACATTTCCACATTCCATGTTTCTCCCCACCTAATAAGAAAACCACATTAAATTATCTTATCTCCTCTCCTTTCAGAATGGGTTGTCTCATCGGATCCATCAAACCACTGAATACGGATTTAGTTTACAACCCAATTCAACCCTTGAAGTCAGGAAAAGGGAAAACTCAGCTCCACCTTCCTAGCCAGTATTCCTAGCCAATGATCAGGGATGGTAATTGGAGGAATTTCTTATGAATTCTCCACTCCTGCAGCAGACATTCCACAATGTTGGAATTCTTTTTGTCTGCCTGGCACCATCTGAACCCAGAGAAAAGATCTGACGGTATGTTTGTCTTGGTTTACATGGCCGATTTGTCTGGTGCACTCGGACAAACTGGCCATCAATAGGCACGTAGAGATAAACAACATCTACATACCAATTTTAAAGAGACAATCAAAAAATCTAAAAGGAAACAAAAAGACCAAAATACCTCCTCGCCATCAATCAACACCCAGATGAGCAGAAATTAAAGTCAAGATAACACTAGGCCAACAATCAAGAAGCAAATAATACCCCAGTCAAGAAATTACTAACGGAGACAAACAAGCTAACAATAAAGAACAGCCTAATCAAGGAAGACCACTCCCACCAACACTGGCAGGGCTCTAAGACACTAGTATGTAAAATGAGAACATTCCTTTACCAGCACTGATGATGTTACCTCATTTGGTAATGAAATGTCTGCAAGAAGATTTAGTGTTTCATTACTATTGTTTAAAACAGGGGGCCCGAACTGCCAGTTCCAGACCGGTACTGATCCGCAGCCTGTTGGGAACTACGGTAGGTTGTGTAAGCAGTGGGTGAGCGAGCTCAGCTTCATCTGAGCATGTGCAGAATCTAAGTTGTATATATGGAACCATTCCCCCCGCTGGTCCACGGAAGACAACTTTTCTTCCAAAGTCAGCCGCTGGAGCCAGAAAGGTTGGGGACTGCTGGCTTAAAGAACACCCCACTTCTTGGAAGAAGAGAGGTCCCTAATAATTGCAGAGTGTTATTCATTTTCCTAGAACCACAAAACTCTCCGTTTGCAAGCAGTAGAAGTATTTTATTCACGCTACCCAGAGCCTGGCATCTGAAGATGCATTCATTCTGCAACTATCTGGCACAATTCATTTCCCTGTTTATCTTATAATTTTCTTATGGACTACCTTTATCTATTAAATCCATTTCTGAATAAGAAAACTGAATGTGGATGTTTTAAATTCTGGGCTTCTGACGATTACTTATTCTGACGTTCTTTTTATCATCCGTTATATTTTGTTTTGGATATTCTGTTTATTTATTTATTTATTTATTTGATTTGCCAATTGTTTACAAGATAATAAGTATAAGTGTATACATAGTTGTGAATACATGAAATGGGTACATATAAGAAAAATAAAAGAAGAATAAGAGAAACAATAGGACAGGGACGGTAGGCACGTTGGTGCGCTTATGCACGCCCCCTACAGACCTCTTAGGAAAGGGGTGAGGTCAATAGTAGACAGTCTAAGGTTAAAGTTTTTGGGGTTTGGGGAAGAAACCACAGAGTCAGGTAGAGTATTCCAGACATTGACCACTCTGTTGCTGAAGTCGTATTTCCTGCAATCAAGTTTGGTGCGGTTTACTTTGAGTTTGTATCTACTGTTTGCTCTTGTGCTGTTATGGTTGAAGCTGAAGTATTCATTGACAGGTAGGACATTGCAATGTATGATTTTATATACTATACTTAGATCGGACCGAAGACGGCGTAATTCAAGGTTTTCTAGTTCTAGAATTTCAAGTCTGGTGGCATAAGGTATTCTGCAACGAGTAGAAGAGTGGAGAACTCTTCTTGTGAGTTCTTGTGAGTGGAGAACTCTTCTGTTCTTTTCTTCTTTCACGCCACCTCCCCTCTTGTGCATTAAGAACAGTTCCCATTGTATGTTCGAGAAAAATGCACGTAGCCATGTGAATTTATTTTAAAATATTTCAGAACAGACCATACAGGGCAGTCCTTTGTTTTTCTCTGTGCCAGGGCCCTTTGAATTCCAATGAAGGAGAATATGCGTAGCTCAGGGTTGAAGTGAGGAGTCCTTGGTGCTCTCTGAGGTTGCTTGTTTTCTTGCAGATGTTCCATTACCCAAACTAGGTAACATCATCAGTGCCTTTAAATTCTTCCTTTAAATAAAGTGAATTTAAAAAAAAAAAAGATACAGAAGGAAACTTGCAGGGAGGAAGAGATTTTTAGATGTTTGCGGTATTACCTGTATATATATATTACCTCCTTCTAATTTTAAGGACTGGGATTCAGAACAACCAAATGACTTTCAAAAGTGTCTCCTTTTTTGGCAAGCGACAAAAAAGAAACATGTCAGATGCAAAGTAACACTTCCAAGGCAGTGGTGGTATGCTACCGCTTTGGACCGGTTCAACTGAATTGATAGTAAAAAAAAAAAAAAAATCCTCAGGATCAGGGGTCGCCAATCTTTTGGACCTCAGGGACCACCAAACTCATAATTTTAAATCCCGCGGGCCAGAGACCCTGGGAAAATCCCCCAAAAAGTCTGCAGGAAAATCATCCACCCCATTTTTCTACCGATCGATCATTCTTTATTTGGGATCGCAGGATACCATCTCCAGCTTTGTTCGCAGGGGGAGAGGGTGGGAGACTTTTGGCTCCTTGCAAGGAAAGCAGCAGAAGCAGCAGAAGTCTTTCTTTCTCTTCCCTAAACACCGCCAGAAATGACTCTTTGTGAGACTTGTCGCGACGGCGCAGCCTCTTGGAGCAGGAGGCCTTGCAGGGTCCCAAAGACTCATTTCTGGCGGAGTTTGGGGGAGAGAAAGAAAGACTTTTGCTGCTTTCCTTG